GATTCGAGGAATTTTCGATTGAAAACTACGACAAACCTCGTCACTCGTAGAAGAGTTCACGTTCTTCCACGCGTCTCGGGTATGCATATCGTTCCTAGTTCTACGACTTATCGATTTTATTATACGTACACGGATATGTGATGGTCTCGTATGTCGATCCGAAATTAAGGATCTGCAGCGGTGAGCTCGGTTTTGGGTAACGTTTCGAATTTCGATGATCCCAAGCGAGCTACTAATGCGCACCAGTTAGAACCTCCGTCTCTAGGGAATATTTAAACGAGCACGTGGAACTGGAATTTATTTTTATTTTCACGGACACTTTCTTTATCTCTTTTTTTTAACCCCCAGGGAAATTGTACGCCTGTGCGAGGTGGGAAAATAAAACGCGGAGATCGGATTGTTTGAATCAACTCACGTGGAAAATACTTTTATGCCTTCTGGTTACTTTGAGATATTGTAGAAAGTTTCTCTCGAATATTTATCAACCATTTTATGCTACTAATTCCACCATTTTGTACGCAGTGAATGTGATTAATTGTATAGAAATCTTGTAAACTTATAATAAATAATGTGGAAACAAGTGTTTTATGCTGTTATTCTATGTCCTTGAATTTTGTATACGATATATGCCATTTTTTACAGGACTATTTATATAAAGTATCAACCATAAAGGACAATAAAAACCAAAGAGTTATCAAACCCTATGTCAGTCATTTTATGTTTATAAATCCACCATTTTGTGTGTAACATCAGAACACATGTTTTTATATAAGATTATTGTGTAAACAATATAAACATTTTGTAAACTAAGCATAATAAACTATATTGAAACTAGACTTTTGTGTTACCAAATATGCCAGCCATTTTACATCACTAAATCCACCATTTTGTGCAGCGCTTTAATACACATGTAATTGTATTCACATTACTGAAATATCGTAAATTAATAATAGTAAGTAATAGGAAAAGTAGAATATTGTTATCAAATTATATGGCAGTCATTTTGTGTCCTCAAATCATTTTATATGCAGCATACTAATAAACATGGTATATTCACAATACTAACAGTAAGTGTATAAACAGTGTAAAAATAATGTCAATCAACTAGAACGAACAATACATAAATAAAAGTATTGTGTTGTCGAATCATGTATCCGCCATTTTAAATCCACCATTTTGTATGCAGCACCTTAATGGAGGAGATTCCTTCACAAGAGTAACTATGTAAACAGTATAAAATTACTGTGAATTAAATAGGACAAACAATATGTAAATAAAAGTATTATGTTGTCAAGTCATGTATCTTCCATTTTGTGATTCTAAATCCACCATTTTGTATGCAACGCCTTAATGGAAGAGATTCCTTTACAAGAGTAACTGTGTAGGCATTATAAAATTACTGTAAATCAACTAGAACGAATAACACGTAAATAAAAGTAGTATGTTATAAAATATATCAGCCATTTTATGATTCTACATCCACCATTTTGTACGCAACATCTTATTACAGCTATATTTATAAAATTAACCAGTGTAAGCAGTACAAAAGTACATCATCCAGAACGAACAACACGTAAATAAAAGTATTACGTTATGAAACCGTATATCAGCCATTTTATATCCCTAAATCCGCCGTTTTATGTGGAAAATCCTAACGCACATGGTTCGTTCGCAAGACTAATTGTAAATTCTACTCTTTCATCGAGTGACCGTGTTATTCCAACTTCGTGCACCTCGAGTATCGTATTATTCAAGGGTTGTCAATTCTTTTCGCCCTGTTATTCGAAACTTCGTGCAGTTCAAGTAGCGCGTTGTTCAAGGGTCACCTGCGATTCTTTCGCTTTCCTGCTTGTACACAAATAAGTTCCGTCGAAATTGTGTCAATATTCCACTGCGCTCTCTGCACTCGTTCTCACAATTCCACTTGTTTGTTCTCCATTTTTGCTGCCTGTATTTAGTTTCCAACATCCTGCTTGCATAGAATGTTATACCCTATATAAAGAACAATTTAAATGCGTTGTGTTCGTTTATCAAAAAATTAACCTCTCCCCAAGAAAATTAATTAACGACTGAATAACGCGCATTCCCATTTAATTTGCAGTATTGTAGTATTCGTTGAGTGCACGAGCATTTAGGGATATAATGGACAATGGTTCTTGGATTATAGAGATGTAGGGTCGTCGGGAATGTAGGGATATTGGTGGATGAAAGGAGATTAGGACATAGGGAGAGTGGGACATAGGGAGATTGGGACGTAGGGAGATTGGGTCGTAGGGAGATTGGGACGTAGGGAAATCGAGACATAGGGAGATTGGAACATAGGGTGATTGGGATATAGGGAGATTGAGACATAGGGAGATTGAGACATAGGGGAGTTGAGACATAGGGGAATTGGGATATAGGGA